CTAACACTCCAACTTCAAGAACTGGAGAAACATCAACAAATAAATCCCAGAGCACTTAGAAGGAAGGAAATAGTCGAGATTAGAGCAGAGCTGAATGACATAGAGACAAAAAGAACAATTCAGAGGATCAACCAATCCAGAAGCTGGTTCTTTGAAAAGATCAATAAAATTGACAAGACTTTGAGCAGACTCATCAAGAAAAAAAGGGAGAGGGACCAAATAAATAATATCAGAAATGAAAGAGGAGAAATAACAACTGATACCACAGAAATACAAAGGATCGTCAGAAACTACTATGAACAATTACATGCCAAGAAATTTGAAAATCTTGATGAAATGGACCAATTTTTAGGAAAGTATAATCTTCCAACACTGAAGGAGGAAGAAACAGAGAGCTTGAAACAGAAAGCGATAACAGCTGGGGAAATTGAAGCAGTAATCAAGAAACTCCCGGCACACAAAGGCCCAGGGCCAGACGGTTTCACAGGAGAATTTTACAAAACATTTAAGGAAAAGCTAACCCCTGTCCTTCTCAGACTATTCCAAAAAATCCAAGAGGAGGGAAGAGTCCCAGACTTTTTCTATGAGGCCAGCATCACCCTGATCCCAAAACCAGATAAAGACCCTACAAAGAAAGAACACTACAGGACAATTTCACTGATGAACATAGATGCTAAAATCCTCAACAAAATATTGGCAACCCGCATCCAGCAATACATTCAAAAGATTATCCACCACGATCAAGTGGGATTCATCCCAAGCGTGCAGGGATAGTTCAATATATGCAAATCAGTAAACGTGATACATCACATAAATAAAGGAAAAGACAAAAAACACATGATCACCTCAATAGATACAGAAAAAGCATTTGATAAGGTACAGCACCCATTTTTGATCCAAACACTCAGCAAAATGGGAATAAATGGGGCATTCCTCAACGTTATAAAGGCCATATATGAAAAACCTACAGGCAATATCATACTCAATGGGCAAAAACTGAAAGATTTCCCTCTAAGATCGGGAAGATGACAAAGATATCCACTCTCACCGCTGCTTTTCAACATCGTATTGGAAATCCTAGCCACAGAGGTCAGACAAGAGAAAGAGATAAAAGGCATCAAATAGGAAAGGAGGAAGGAAAGCTATCATTGTTTGCAGATGACATGATAGTGTACATAGAGAACCCTGTAGACTCTACCAAAAAACTCCTCAACCTAATAAAGGAATTTGGCAAAACTGCAGGATACAAAGTCAACATTCAGAAATCAAAGGCATTTTTGTACACCAGCAACACAATAGAAGAAGAAGAAATCAGAAAAAAAGATCCCATTCAATATAGCAAGAAGAAAACTAAAGTACCTAGGCATAAATTTAACCAAAGATGTAAAAGATCTGTACACAGACAACTATACAATATTGAAAAAAGAAATTAAGGAAGACACAAATACATGGAAGCATGTACCGTGCTCATGGATTGGAAGAATTAATATCATCAAAATGTCCATACTACCCAAAGCAATTTATAGATTCAACGCAACCCCTATTAAGATACCAATGACGTATTTCACAGAAATAGAACAGACATTTCAAAAATTTATATGGAACCATAAACGACCCCGAATAGCCTCAGCAATTTTGAGAAAGAAACACAAGGTAGGAGTGATCACAATTCCGGACATCAAACTCTACTACAAAGCCACTATACTCAAAACAATCTGGTACTGGCACAAGAACAGACCCATAGACCAGTGCAACAGAATAGAAAGCCCAGAAATAAGCCCAGGTCTCTATGGGCATCTAGTATTTGACAAAGGGGGCAGAAGCATAAAATGGGGCAATAATAGCCTCTTCAACAAATGATGTTGGGAGAGCTGGACGGCTACATGCAAAAAATTGAAATTGGATCATCAGCCGACACCATACACAAAAATAAACTCAAGATGGATAAAAGACTTAAATATAAGTCATAACACCATAAAAGTCCTAGAGGAGAACATTGGCAGGAAACTCTCAGATATCCCACGCAGCAATTTTTTCACCGATATGTCTCCTAAAGCAAGGGACATAAAGGAAAGAATAAACAAGTGGGACCTCATCAAAATAAGCTTCTGCACGGCAAAAGAAAAAATCAACAAAATGAAAAGGGAGCCAACCATATGGGAAAATATATTCGCTAATGATACATCAGATAGAGGTTTGATCTCCAAGATATATAAAGAACTCACTCGACTCCACTCCAAGAAGACAAACGATACAATCAATATATGGGGAAAGGACCTGGGCAGACGCTTTTCCAAGGAGGAGATACAGAGGGCCCAGAGGCATTTGAAAGGATGCTCAGCATCACTAGCCATCAGAGAAATGCAGATCAAAACTACCATGAGGTACCACCTCACACCGGTCAGAATGGCCATCATAAACAGATCAACACACAGCAGTTGCTGGCAAGGCTGTGGGGAAAGGGAACCCTAGTACACTGTTGGTGGGAATGCAGACTGGTGCAGCCACTGTGGAAAGCAGTGTGGAATTTCCTCAAAAAGCTGAAAATGGAGCTGCCTTTTGATCCAGTGATTCCCCTGCTGGGACTCTACCCTAAGGATACCAAAACGTCAATACAAAAGAACCTATGCCCCCCAATGTTGTTAGCAGCACAATTTACAATAGCCAAGTGTTGGAAGCAACCTAAATGCCCATCAGTAGATGACTGGATCAAAAAATTATGGTACATATACGCTATGGAATACTATGCAGGAGAAAGAAAAAAGAACTACTAAACTTCGCGACAGCATGGATGGACCTGGAGAGCATTATGCTAAGTGAAATAAGCCAGGGCATGAAAGACAAATACCATATGATCTCACCTATAAGTGGAACCTAACCAACAATACAAAGATGCAAGGAAAATAAGACCGGCAACACTGAAAGGAAAATAAATCAACAGAGACAAAAAGGAAGGAGGGAGGGGAGACAGGGAAAAAGAAAGGAAGGGGAAAGTCAAGGAACATATAGCAAGGACTCATGGACAAAACCAAAAGGGAAGAGCTGAAGGAGGGAAGGAGAGATGGGGAAAGGGAAAGTGGTGGAGGTAGGCAGAGACATATGTATTTGAAAAAATACATTTAAATAAAATTTAAAAAAATAAATAAATAAATAAAATGTCTAAGCCCTAGGCTTAGCCTTGATGAGCCCATGCCTAGCACCATAACTGGCATAAGTAGATGCTAATGCTGTGGGTTCAGAAGGCCCTAGTTGTCATAGGATCTAGGCTGTGAATATGTGAGGTGCCTTGACTTTCACCTTGGGATGTCTGAAGGTCTGAGTTTTCCCTTTTTCTTCCTATACTCATGTCCGTGTTTTGGGTTCATCCTTCCCTTGTTTTTATATCACTTTCCCTTAATGGCTTTTCAGAAGAAAAGCCTGAAAGAATGGCTTCTTCAGTCAGCAGAGAAAATGGAGGGGTGAAGGGATGAGATAGATACATTCTGGTGTGAGGGCTGCAAGGGAGAAGGAGCTTGTCACTTCTCCAGTTCAGCAAGTATCACCAGTACCCAACCATCTGAAAAATTCACTCCCCAAAAGAGAGCTCTCGGAGATGCTCAGGAGGGCAGATGGGGGTGGGAAGGAAGGATGCAAACTGGACCAAAATCAATTCCAGCTTATAGTAATTACATGACAAGGACATGTGTGGCTGCTCCAGTGCAGCTGCCCCAGCAGGGTGAATGAAAGGCTGGGCCTCTTTCCCAGGGCAGCCAGAGCAATTAGTTGGTAATAAAAGCCTCATCACTCACTGTGGGCAGGGACAGGGGTTGATGGAGGAGGGCAGCATTAGTAAACTTATGGTTTCTGGTATGTGCCTAATTTGGATGGGGGATTTATTTCAACTACCACATCAGGGTCACTGGAACCCAGATAAGGGTTTTGGAATGGAAATCTCAGACAGGCTCTCAGAAATACAGATCACAAGTTCCCAGGATCTCAGGATGCTAGAGATGATGGGGTGATGATGTAACGATTCTAGTCTGTATGTTGCATTTTTTTTTCTTTCTGTTCCTTTCTGTTCATCTCTTCCACCTGCCTGCAAGTGCTCATTAGGAATATTCCTGACACACAGTCTCAAACACTATCTGGAAGAAGGGACCGTCTCAAGCTAGAGACCCAGGAAACCCCTCCTCCTCTCTCACAGTACCCTCTGCCCCCACCAGCAGCTGTCTTAAGAAATTCAGCACAAATCTCAGCCACACTTTGAAGAGGGTGTTAGATGTAGGACATCTGCAGCAGCAGACAACTGCACAGGGTTGGTGGACCTGGTGGCAAAGCCAGGGACCAGGCTTGTCCTAAAGAGACTGTGACCCCCTGAAGTGGTGGCCATGGCAGCCCACCTGTATGTCTCTGTATCCTTGCTCTGTCCAGAACATGGACCCAGAGCCACCCTTGACTCTTCTTAGCTGGCCTAAAGAGGGTTCCTGCTTAAGAGGGCAGCAGGCTCAGTCCTCCCTCCATCCTAGAGCCTCCCTTTTCCCAGCAAGAGATCTCCCAGCATCAGGGTCTCTGGCTTGGCCCTAGGTTGGGTAGAGACACCCCTTGCGGCAGAGGTGTCAGGGGGCTAGGGTGAACATGGGGAAGATGGAAGAGCTGAAGACCCCAGGATACCATCTGTCTGGATGTACAGTTAAATCACACACAGCCCTCACTGGACCCCCTTGGAGACAACAATCCCTTCAGACATGCACGCAAATACTCACCAGTAGCCTCCAACCCACAATCACAGGTTTCCCGTCGCCTGCCGCGCACACACGTGAAACACACACACATACACACACGAGTCCTGCCAGGCTACAGTAACTTCCTTTCCCCGCAGTCTGGAAATGTCTACAGTTGCCATTTTAGCTTAAACTTTTTTGGAAGGGGCAACAAGGATCACACGGAGAAGGTGGATCCTGGGCAGGGGTACCCCGCACTTAGGGCTCTCGGCTTCCCTCCCTATCCCCTGCGCCTCTCACCTGGTAAACCAAGGCACAGCAAGAGGCTGTAGTAGACCACAGGCACGATGCCCAAGCTGCAGGCCAAGCTGGGGGACCAGGACAAAGAGCTGTTGGCTGCAAAGTGGGCGTGCGTGTGCTCCATGAGCGCACCCCTCGCTCCCCGTAGTTGCGCCAGGCCTGCCGGTCCGCTGTGCAGGGTGGATCGCTGGTGGCAGAGACTGAGGAAGCAGCTGGAGTAGCAATGTCTCCTCCGCAAGACTTGTTTCTGCCGTAGGCCTTGGTCCCCTCTGCTCCTCTGCACCTGCCCGCTTGGAGTCCTGTCTCAGCCCTCCCGCTGGGTGTAGGGACTCGGGAGGGGCTCCCAGAACCCGTGTCTGGGCCTCCCACCTCCAGCTGCTCAGCTCCCGCCTAGAAGAGGGAGGCGGGGGTGGATGGGAACACAGGGACGCTGCCCCCTTAGCCAATCAGCAACTGTCTGGACTACGGATGGGGGGGGGGGGAGTGTATGGGTGGGAGTGAGATGCGCTGGAGGAGGGGTCCCAGCTGCCTTCTCTGGGTTCCAGTTTCAGGAGAGGAGAGGAGTTCGACCGGAGAACCACAGAAGAAGACGAGAAGGGGAACCTGGAACAGCAACCCGATGTTCACACCCTGTTGAAGGGGCTTGGTGCAAGTGGCACTCTCTTCTCCCGCAGTGGCCTCCTATTGCTCCAGCGAGTCCTCATTTTGCCTTCTCCTCCAAGCCACTTCCCTTCCAGTCTGTCTGGATAGAGGATTCTCCACCCAAGGCATGGCTGGGATCGGGGGAAGGGAAGGCTGTTGGAGTGAGTAGGGTGCTCAGGGGGTGTCAGCTTTCCTGGACCAGAGGAGCTGAGGTTGGAAGGAAGTGTGCTTATGTCTTAGTGTGTGTGTTGACTATAGGGGAGGCTGGAAGGAACTTGTTCCTGAGCTTTTGAAGGGATGCAGGCTTGCTAGAAGAAGCCTGCTAACAGGAAGTCTTTCTGTCAGGAATAAGGATGTTGCAGCCACTGAGACACACTCACACAAAGACACACAATACCCAGTCATAAGGGTTTGCTCACATGCTCATATGGGCATGCAGAGGCCCTCTCATTCCACCCTCAGGGCATCCTCATCACCATGCACAAGGACTGCACTCACACAATATCCCCAAATATACACAAACTGATGTGGGAGTGATGTAGGGAGTGTCTAGTGTTTCAAGGATGTGTGAAGTATAGGAGAGGGAAAGCAGGTAAGATCAATGCTATCTTGGAGAATTGGAGTGAATGGAACTACGTTTTCTCAGAGTAGGCAGATGGAGAGTTCTCCATGCAGCTCTTCTGGGGGACACAATAGAATTGAGAAGAGAAAGAAGTCTGTCTGGGGCTCTAAATAGTTTGTGTGTGTGTGTGTGTGTGTGTGCGCGCGCGCGAGTGTGTGTGAAAACTTCTTCAGAAATATAAACGGAGAGATATTTCCTGGGTGGCAGGGCGGTGCGGGGGAGGTGCTGTAGCAGCTGCCAATGCAGAAGCATGTGATGGGCTCAGAGAAGCCTAAGATCCTATCTGCTCATCGATAACCCTGGTCCTCCATAACATCCCTTTCTGGGAAGGAGGAACTGGCTGGGCTTTCCCCAGGCTCTTTCAGATCTCCCAGTTTGGAAGAGACACCTGCCCCTCACACAGAGCAAAGCGCATGTGTCCAGTATTATTTGGGGCAAACTCCAAGGCATCCAGGCCAGACAGTCTGCATAGGAAGGATCTGTTGGGCCTGACTGGGTCTGTGGGGAACAGAGAGGCTGTGGCCCCTAAAGGGACAGATTATTACTCAGAGTCCTGTGGGCCCAGTGAATGCAAGTCTGATAACTCAAGCCAAGTTAGATACTGAAATTTTGTTGTGAACTCTGTTTTTTAAATGTGAGTACTCTAAATAAAAAAAAACCCCAAAACCCCACTGTGATGATAAATAAAGTGGTGCCATCAGTAGAGGCTCAATAAATAATTATTCCAAAACCTATAGATTGGATTTGTCTGTGGGCAACTAAACAGAGATGGGGCTGGGGATGAGAAGGCATGAGATTTGACAAAGTTCCCCTGTCCATTCAGAGATTTCTCTACATTGTGAACAACAGATAATGCCTCAAGGCTTTTGCACTGGCTATTCCCTCTGCCTGAAATGCTCTTTCTCTAGAAGTCACATTAACCTGCTTCTTCACCTTCTACAGGTCTTACTTATTATCTCCTTCTCATTGAAGCTTGCCTTAACAATCCTATTTAATTGAAACTTCCATTCCAAAATGTTCATTTCCTTGGCCTTTCCTCTGTTTAAGTTTTCTTCATAGTGCTTATCATGCTTGGTATATCATATACTATTTATTTATTTATTTATTTATTTATTTATTTATTTATTTGTGTTTTTATCTGTTTCCTCTCTTAGAGGGACAGGCTTTTTGGTATATTTTGCTTAGGGTGGCATCACTGGCTTTTACACAGAACCTATGTGTTATAGACTCTCAACAAACATTGAATAATGAAAGGCCCCAGCACCCACTGACCAAGGGCACACAGGCCATGAGAAGATGAGTTTATCCTTGCTTGTCTCAGCAAGCTAGAGTGTCACAGCATGGGCTGCTATTAAGGTTGGAGCACAATCTCAGATTCAGCATGTAATTAGCCTATATGACTAGCCACTCTAAAAAATGATTTGTGGAAATTCTGTGCCTTTATCTAGACTCCTTATAAAACTAGAAACTTGACCAGGCAGAGTTACTGGGCTGCATGGGTGTTATTAATGAACCTTATTGTTTTGAGGCTCCATTTCCCTGTCTGCAGAATGGGGATGAAAGAAACCAGTAATGCCTTGTCCCAGGATATTGAGCAGTGAGAGAGGGTGTGGGGCATTTGGATTCATGTAGACTGTAATTTGGAGAATGGGGAATTGCCCTGTGTCCTCTGCTTGACAGCTTGTCAAGATCCCAGTTTCCTGGGAAATGAATGGGTTGGATGAGAAGAACTTTAAGGTCTTAGGATAGGCTTTTGGTCCCAGGGAATGGGCAGGATAAGTCAAAATCAAAAATTAATTTTGCACCATAGCTGGTGTAGCTCAGTAGATTGAGTGCCAGCTTGCAAACAAAGAGTTGCTGCCAGTTCGATTCCCAGTCAGGCACATGCCTGGGTTGTGGGCCAGGTCCCCAGTAGGGGGCATGTGAGAGACAACCACACATTGATGTTTCTCTCTCTCTTTCTCCCTCCTTCCCCTCTCTCTAAAAATAAATAAATAAAATATTTTTAAAGGGATTAAAATCTCTTTGTCACTTGGCTGGGTCTTCAGAAAAAGGGATGCTTGAGTCAACAATTGTGGTTGGCTAAATTCATCCACTTATTTATTCTTTGAAAAAATTTTTGTTTCAAAAGACTTTTAATGGATATTTAATGTGTGTTTATCAAGACAAGATACATAATTGCAGAGCTTGATGCAAAAATGAAAATATTCAAAAATTAAGAATTTCACAGCAGAGTATTAAACCAAGCATTGAGCCCTGCTGAGTGTTCAGGAAGGGGAATGCACACACGGAAGCTTATAAGCCTAGGCAGTAATAAACATGGTAATAAACATGAGTGTGTCATAACTATTTACATTCTTTTCTTCCATAAAGAATGTACCATCTACTATTTACAATTGCATTGAAAAAAATAACTAGGAATGAATTTAATCAAGGAGGGAAAAGACCTGTGTTCAGAAAATTATAAGACATTAACAATGAAGAAGATACAAATAAATTGAAACACATACTGTGCTCATGGCAAGGAAGAATTAACATTATTAAAATGTCCATATTACTCAAAGCAATCTATATATCCACAATAATTCCTGTCAAAATGCCAATGGTGTATTTCACAGAACTGGAATAAATAGTCCAAATATGTACATGGAACCACCGAAGACCCTATAAAAATAGCCTCAGCAATCTTGAGAAAAAAAGAACAAAGTTGGAAGCATCACACTACCTGATCTCAAACTATACTATAAGGCTATCATATCAAAACCACATGGTATTGGCCTAAAAGCAGACACATAGCTAAATAGTACAGAATATAGAGCCCAGAAATCTGCACATATGTGGACAATTAATACATGACAAAGGAGGCAAAGACATATAATAGGGTGAAGAGAGTGAATAGGGTGAATAGATATTCAATATCTACTGTTGGAAAAACTGGACAGACACATGCAAAAAATGAAACTAGACCACATTTTGCACCATATACAAGAATAAACTCAATCTGGATTAAAGACTTAAATGTAAGACCCAAAATCATAAAAGCCCTAGAAGAAAACATAGGTAGCAAACTCCCTGAAATTGTTTTCTTAGTAATATTTTTTTAAATGTATCTCTTTGGGCTATGGAAACAAAAGAAAAAAAAATAAATGGGACTATATCAAATAAAATATTTTGCACAGCAAAATAAACCATCAACAAAATGAAAGGACAGCCTACTGAATGGGAGAAGATATTTGCCAATGATACATCTGACAGTGGGTTAATATCCAAAATTTATAAAGAACACATACAACTTGACACCAAAAAACAAATCATCCAATTAAGAAATGGGTATAGGACCTGAGTAGACACTTGAAAAAGCATGTACCCATGACCACTAAACATACGAAAAGGTTCTCAACATCATTAATCATCAGAGAAAGGCAAATTAAAACAACAAGGAGTTTTTACTTCACAACTATTAGAATAACTATCATTAATAAATCAATAAACAAGTGCTATCAAGGATGTAGAGAAAGGGGAACCCTTGGTACTGTTGGTGGGAATTCAGATTGGTACAGTCACTGTAGATGTATGTTGTTATATCAAAAAATAAAAAAAAACAGAACTGCCTTATGACCCACCAATTTCACTTTGGGATATATTTCTGAAGAAACCCAAAGCATTAATTTGAAAGAATATACATGCCCCTATGTTTATTGCAGCATTATTTACAACAGCCAAGATATGGAAGCAACCCAAGTGCCCATCAGTAGAAGCATGGATAAAGAAGAGATAGTACGTACATGCAGAGCAATACTACTCAATCATAAGAAGAATAAAATATGGTTAAATTTGCAACAACATGGATGGACATAGAA